CACCGTCATGGGCGACCGCTACGCTTTTGACGAAGACCTGCAAAGCGAAAGCGGCTACTTCTACGCCCGTTTGCGCCACGAACGTTACCTCAATGGCCAGACCCAACTCAGCGGCGACAGCAGCAGCGCCACCCTGGCTCCTGCGCAGGTACTCAAAATCTCCGGCGGCGCGCCACAGGCCTTTGCCCCCGGTGCGGTGATCACGCAACTGACCACCCGGGCTGCCCGCGACCGCAGTTTCGACGTCAGCTTTAAGGCCATTCCCTACTCGGAGACCGTGTGCTTCCGCCCGGAGCTCAAGAAAAAACCACAAATCGCCGGCACCGTCCCGGCCCGTGTCACCAGCCGGCAGGCCAACGACCCGTACGCCGAAATCGATCTGGAAGGGCGCTACCGGGTCAACTTCCTGTTCGACCGCGACACCTGGAAGCCCGGCCAGGAAAGTATGTGGCTGCGCCTGGCCCGCCCGTACGCAGGCGACACCCATGGCCTGCACTTGCCGCTGATAGCGGGCACCGAAGTGGCCATTGCGTTTGAGCAAGGCGACCCGGACCGTCCCTACATCGCCCATGCCTTGCACGATAGCCGGCGCGGGGACCATGTGACCTTGCGCAACTACAAACGCAACGTGCTGCGCACGCCGGCCAACAACAAACTGCGCATGGACGACACGCGGGGGCAGGAGCACGTCAAGCTCAGTACGGAATACGGTGGGAAAAGTCAGCTGAACCTTGGGCATTTGGTGGATGCCGAGCGCAAAAAAGCGCGGCGAAGGTTTTGAGCTGCGAACCGACGACTGGGGTGCCATTCGGGCGGGGAAGGGGTTGTTTATCAGTGCCGACAAGCAGGTCAAGGCCGGCGGTGAGCAACTTGAAATGGAAGCCGCCATTACGCAGTTGGAAAGCGCGCTATCACTGGCGCGCTCCTGGCCGATGCGGCTCGTAATGCACGAGCTCTCCCCGGTGATATCGATAGCCAACGAGGACTGGTTCAGGCGCTCAGCGAGTTGGGGCGATCGGGCGTATTGCTGCATGCCCCCGCAGGCGTCGGTGTGGTCAGTCCCAAAGCGGTATGCCTGTCATCCGGGGGCGAAAGCGTGGGCATCATGGCGGCGCACAACGCCGACATCAGCGCCGGGCACAACATCACGGCCGCTGCCGAGGGGGGATTAGCGTACTTGCGCAACGTGCAGACATGCAGCTCAAGGCCGCCTTAGGCAAGATTGAGCTGCATGCCCAGGCCAGCAATCTGCATGCGATGGCGAAGACCGATATCAAGATCGAAAGCGTGGAAGGCCGCGTAGAAATCAGCGCTCCACAAGAGCTTGTACTCAACTGTGGTGGCGCCTATATCCGCCTGAAGAATGGCGAAATTGAGCTGGGTGCGCCCGGCAATATTTACCTCAAGGCTGCCCATGTCGACAAGCTTGGAAGCGCCAGCCTTGATACGCCGGTATCACCGCTACCAGCGGGATATTCCGGTAGCTACGCCCTGAAGGATGAAGCCCGGGTGCCCCTGCCGTTCACTCGTTATCGGATTACCACCCGGCAAGGAGAGGTGTTCAAGGGGGTGACCGATAAGGCAGGCAAGGCCATGCCGATCCATACACTGGTCCCGGGAGAGTTGAAAGTTGAGTTTCCGGCATCGGAGAAATGGATCAGCTTTTTGCGCGCCGGTTGAATTGAATCATCAAGGCATCAAATGCACTGCGACGATGGACGATGGAACCGTTTTGCAAGGTGAGTTCGATCATCAGAACAAGGCGAGCTTTTATTCTTTTGCTGGTAACACCTGTGTCAAGTTTGAGGTGGCTGAACTTGCGCCACAGGAAACGGGTATTAGCTGCGCCGAAGAAATACTGAAAAGGATTATGGAGTAATCAATATGGATGCCCCTTATCGAAATTACCTGGCTCGAGAAAATCACTCGGTTGATGCTGAGGTTCTGGAGCGTGCGCTAGAGAGCTTTGAGGGAGTTGCCGTTAAGTTTTCATCGGATTTTATAGAAGATGCAAGGCAGCGTGATAATTACAATCGTAACGTCAAGAGGGTCAAGGCTGAGGTTTTGAAGCAAGTAGCAAATGGGAGCATTTCAGCAAAAGAAGGTGCTGAGTTTTGCTATGAAATGAGAAATAAAATCATGGCGCAAACGCGCGCCAGAACTTCGGTGGCGGGGCGTGCCGTTGCTGAAAGAGAGAAAGTAATTTCTCCTGCTCTGGAGAAATTGCTGGACGAAAAGTCCGGCAGGAAATTTGGAAAAAGGTTTAATGAGCTGGGCCCTCGGCAAAAAAGTACTGTTCATTACGAGATCATTGAGTCTTCCGCCAGGCCAAACACCAAGTTCAATATAAGAAACAAAATGTTAAGAACGATAGGGAAAGTGCTGATAGTGGTGACTGTTGCGTATGTTGTCTACGACGTTGTCAATGCGCAAAACAAAGTGAAAGAAGTGATCAAGCAAGGCGCTGTAATGGCTGGCGGGCTTTCAGGCACGATTTTAGCCGGCTCTGCCGCTTCGCTGGTGTGTGGCCCAGGAGCTCCCGTGTGTGCTGTTGCACTATTGGTTGGTGGCGGGGTCGCCGCAGGATGGGTTGCATCAGAAGTTGTAGAGCTTTTTGATGACGAGCTTGATGAATTTACTCGTTGGCAGGTGAAGTAGTACGCCAGTCAGTGTGTGCGGTCGATGGAGATACTCATGACGCTTATTTTATTGAAATTATTCTTTTCATTGTTCGCGCCTCTGGCCCTCGGATTGGCGGGTGCCGGGGTGAATAGTTATGTCGCATGCCGTGATTTGGAGGTGGTGTTAAAGGTTTTTAAAAAAAGCTCCATTGTGACGTCTTATGCTGATGTATGGGCGGGTGGTTCTTTTTTTTCACGCAGCGCCTTATCTATGGTAGTGGCCGGAAGTGTGATGTGGCCGTACAAGCATATACGCAACGGTTCGCTCGACGCTCAGGAACTGGCTTGTTTGCCTGGCTCTATCAAACTACGCATGAAATGGTCAGTCGGACTTGTGGTGGGTGGAGTTGGATGGTTATTTTTTGTTTTTCTTTTGTCGAAGTTTTTCAGTTAGATGGAAAAGCAAGGCTGTGCACCATTGATTATGGATTTAACCCATCATAACTAGAGATACTCAGGGGCTTGTATGAGTGACGAATTTTTGCATCGCACGGATACACTCGGCACCGTCAAAGTAGTGACTTGCGGTCCACAGAAAAAGCACTGGGTTGAATTCCAGTTGGTGGATGAACAGGGTGAACCACTGGCGAACCTGCCGTGGCGAGCGGTGAACGATGCCACACGTGCCGACTGTGCGCCGCCGCACTCAGGTGTGAGCGATGCCCAAGGAGTGGTTCGTGTAGACGGCCTGCACCCCATCCCCATCACCTTGCTGGTGTCCGCCGACCCGCTGGCCGAGCAACTGCAAACCCGGCGCTTGCGTGCCGAAAGGCCCGAACCGGAGTGGCCAATTATCGGTGACCGCAGCGCGCCCTACGGTCCGCAGCGCCCGGGCTTTTCGCCGATTGAGGCGCAGGCGCTCGCGGCGGGGCACGGCTACCACTATGTGCGCATTGGGCAGTTATGCGATCAAGCGCCGAACGACCCGCCGTTGGCAGACTCGAAGAAACTTCCGGCGTTTCACTTTCCGGACCCGGCTTTCAGTGGGTTTACCGTTGAGTACGAGGAGCTGAATCGCCGGCATGTGGTGGAGGTGTGTCCATTTCGTGCTTGGGCGTTGGTGCTGCATCATCAGCCTGAGTACAGCTTGGTTAATGCACACAATTTGGGGCTTATGAGCATTTTGGCTTATAGCCGATATGAGGAGAACGATCGCGGTTCACCCGAGCAGTTTTTTCTCCATCAATGCCTGGACCTGTCACGCACGCCACGGGTATTGGATACCGGGAACAACTGGGGTTGCGTGGTAACGGATGTGCCGTTTAGTCAGCGCTATACGTTGGTGCAGACCCAGGACACGGGGAAGGCGGATCCGCCGGAAGGCAATACGCAATTCTTCTACGCCATCAACGCCTCTCAGGTGCTGGTCGCTTGGCGCGGCACCGAAATGGCCTGGCCGTTTACCGATTTGGCAACGGATGTAACCTTTCGGCCTGTGAAGCCAGAAATGCAGGCCACTTGTGAACCCAAGGTGCCCTGTGACGACTTGACCCCGCAGGGCAGCGTGCATCTGGGGTTTCGTGATGCATTTGAAAAGGCCAGAAGGATTTATGCCGAGAATCTAGGCGAAACGATCAGTAGTGAGATTCGCGACAAAAAACTGTTCATTTGCGGCCACAGCCTGGGCGGCGCCCTTGGCCTGATCCACGCCGCGTCGCTAAAAGATCAAAAACCACTGCTCTACACCTACGGCATGCCCCGCACCTTTACCCTCAAAGCCGTACACGGCCTAGCCGAGATTCGACACTTTCGCCATGTCAATGACACAGACACTATCCCCAGCGTCCCACCCGAAGCGGAGTTGGACAACTACCTGTACAACCTCTACGGCCAACTGGGCACTTCTCTTGGGTTCGCCTGGTCCCTGGTTCAACTAACCGCCAGCCAACTGTTCCGGTACGGCGACCCGTTCTGCCATCACGGCGAAATCGCCATGCTCTACTGGGCCGACCAGCACCGCCAGGCCAGAGGCTCGCACTATCCGGCCTATCTCAACAAGGAAGGACTGGGCGCGCCCTACCACACCACGATCAACCATCGCCTGGCGCAACGATCCCTGATGTATGTGGTACCCAGCCTGAGCACCGACGACAGCCAACAGGCCGAACACGCCCAGCAGCGGTTTTTCACCTCATTGGCCACCGAGAGCCGGAACAGAATCTTCCCGCCCAATGGCAACCTCAGGACCGGCCGGTTCACCGGGCTCGGCAACCATTTCATGGGGGTGTACCAACCCCATATCCGCAACCAGTTGCTGGAACTGCTCAACCCTGGGCGCGACCCGTTGCTGGAGCGGCAGGTGCAGCGGCAGAAATTCAAGCAACAGATGCGGGAGAACGCCTTGAGCGCGCCCGAAGATGAGCTGACGCGTAACCGGGTGTTCCTCGAACTGCAAAACCAACTGGAGCAGGCCCTGCGCGTCACGCGGGAAATGGAGGGCGGCGCCGAAGCGCTGCAACGTTTCGATGCGGTCTCGGATCCCGAGAGACACCACGAAACCATTAAGGGTTAAGCCCGTAAATACCGGCCAGGACAAGACCATGATCAGGAACACCACCGTCGTTTTATTCGCTCTACTCACCAGCCTGAGCGGTTGCGCCATGGACCGTAGTTTGGCGCCGCCGGCCAGCAGTGAGCTGATGACCATCACGGTGAAAGTGCCCAAGGAACTTGAAGCCGAAACGCTGGAAGTGATGTATCGCTCGCCCATCTGCAAGCGCATTACTTCCGGAGCCAGCGGCCAACGCATTGAACTGCAGGGTTATCACGGAATTGACGTGCAACTGCAGCAGCAGGGGCAGAGTGATCTCTACGAAGCCAAGTTACCAATGGACGGCGGTGGTGCATGCCGGTGGCGCTTGAGTAACGTCATCTTTGGCGTTGCCTACAGCAATCCCGCGCAATTTGGCGAGAGTGTAACTTACGGCGCGGGAGGAGGTGTCGTGGTGAAATTCGACCACAATCGTGGCCTGAGAAGCGCTGGCATGCCCGTTGAAGTCGAAGGCGATTTGACGATAAAGAAGGACTATTACCCTTGGGTGAAAGAGAGTTTTTTAGGTGGTTACCGTAAGCGTGTCAGTCTTACTGGTGAGGGTGATATCTATCTTGGCTATCAAGCACTACAGGCCCGACGCGTGTACTTCGAACCTGTCCTGCATTCTAAATTCACCGTTTACTCCATACAGCCAAAGGAGAAGAAAGAGAGTAACCACACCGCCTTCACCTACCCCGATGGCAGCACCTCAGCCGATGGCCGCTCCAAACCCGACTTCCGCAAATTACAAGCCATCCGCCTGGCTGCGGAAGTTCAACAATGAACATTGTTCTTCCCCTCACCATGATCATGCTGTTCACCAGCCTGAGCGGTTGTGCCATGGACCGAAGTTTGGTGCCGCCGCCGGACAGCGAACTCATGACCATCACGGTGAAAGTGCCCAAGGAACTTGAAGCCGAAACGCTGGAAGTGATGTATCGCTCGCCCATCTGCAAGCGCATTACTTCCGGAGCCAGCGGCCAACGCATTGAACTGCAGGGTTATCACGGAATTGACGTGCAACTGCAGCAGCAGGGGCAGAGTGATCTCTACGAAGCCAAGTTACCAATGGACGGCGGTGGTGAATGCCAGTGGCGCTTGAGTAACGTCATCTTTGGCGTTGCCTACAGCAATCCCGCGCAATTTGGCGAGAATGTAACTTACGGCGCGGGAGGCGGAATTGTAGCGATATTTGATCAAAACAACTCACTACGAGGAGGTGCAGATATTGAAGTTGAGGGCGATTTGACGATAAAGAAGGACTATTACCCCTGGTTGAGTGAGGCCTTTCTTGGCGGTTACAGGAAACAAATTAGCCTGACAGGTGAAGGTGATATCTATCTTGGCTATCAAGCATTGCAGGCCCGACGTGTTTATTTCGAACCTGTCCTGCATTCTAAATTCACCGTTTACTCCATACAGCCAAAGGAGAAGAAAGAGGGTAACCACACTGCCTTCACCTACCCCGATGGCAGCACCTCAGCGGATGGCCGCTCCAAACCCGACTTCCGCAAATTACAAGCCATCCGCCTGGCTGCGGAGGCTCAACAATGAACATTGTTCTTCCCCTCACCATGATCATGCTGTTCACCAGCCTGAGCGGTTGTGCCATGGACCGAAGTTTGGTGCCGCCGCCGGACAGCGAACTCATGACCATCACGGTGAAAGTGCCCAAGGATTTGAAAGCGCGCACTCTGGAGGTGATGTACCGCTCGCCCATCTGCAAGCGCATTACTTCCGGAGCCAGCGGTCAACGCATTGAACTGCAGGGTTATCACGGAATTGACGTGCAACTGCAGCAGCAGGGACAGAGTGATCTCTATGAAGCCAAGTTACCGATAGATGGCGGCGGTGGGTGCCAATGGCATTTGAGTAATGTGTCCTTCGGGGTCGTGTATAGCGATCCCAAGCGTTTTGGAGAGAACGTGACTTGGGGGGCGGGGGAGGTATTGGCGTGAAGTTTGACCAGAACCGTCCGTTGAGAACCTCCGGAATACCGATAGAAGTTGAAGGAGACTTGACGCTCAAGAAGGACTATTACGCCTGGATCGATGAAGAGTTTTTGGGACCTTACAAAAAAACCGTAAGTTTGACGGGTGAGGGCGATATTTACCTCAGCTACCAGGCATTGCAAGCTCGCCAAATATATTTCGAGCCGGTTCTGCACTCAGGTTTCGCGGTCTATTCGGCTGGACCGAAGATTAAAAAGGAAGGTAACCACACCGCCTTCACCTACCCCGACGGCAGCACCTCAGCCGATGGTCGCTCCAAACCCGACTTCCGCAAACTACAAGCCATCCGCCTGGCTGCGGAGGCGCAACAATGAACATTGTTCTTCCCCTCACCATGATCACTCTATTCACCGGCCTGAGCGGTTGTGCCATGGACCGAAGTTTGGCGCCGCCGCCGAACAGCGAACTCATGACCATCACGGTGAAAGTGCCCAAGGAACTTGAAGCCGAAACGCTGGAAGTAATGTATCGCTCGCCCATCTGCAAGCGCATTACTTCCGGAGCCAGCGGCCAACGCATTGAGCTGCAGGGTTATCACGGGATTGACGTGCAACTGCAGCAGCAGGGACAGAGTGATCTCTACGAAGCCAAGTTACCAATGGACGGCGGTGGTGCATGCCGGTGGCGCTTGAGTAACGTCATCTTTGGCGTTGCCTACAGCAATCCCGCGCAATTTGGCGAGAATGTAACTTACGGCGCGGGAGGCGGTGTCGTGGTGAAATTTGACCACAATCGCGGGCTGAGAAGCTCGGGTATACCTATTGAAGTCGAAGGGGATTTGATGATCAAGAAGGACTATTACCCTTGGATTGATGAAGAGTTTTTGGGGCCTTATAAAAAAACCGTAAGTTTGGCGGGTGAAGGCGATATTTATCTCGGCTATCAGGCATTGCACGCACGCCAAGTCTATTTTGAACCGATTCTGCACTCTGGTTTCGCGGTCTATTCGGCTGGCCCAAAGATTAAAAAAAGAGGGTAACCACACGGCCTTCACCTACCCCGACGGCAGCACCTCAGCCGACGGTCGCTCCAAACCCGACTTCCGCAAATTACAAGCCATCCGCCTGGCTGCGCAGGCGCAAAAATGAACATGGTTCTTCTCTTCGGATTCATCACTCTATTTACCGGGGTCACGTCACCCGTCTGGCTGCGCGGTACAAGGCTGTTCGCCCCCGTCACCGTGCTTCTTCCCTACGACCCTTACAGCCAGTCATTGGCCCAGTCTTAACCATTGGAATTAATTCGTATGTCCCAAGAATTTGTTTTGCTGGGTGATAAAACCACCCACGACGGCGAAGTGATCTCGGCGTCTTCCACTATGTTCGTAAATGGCAGGCTCGTGGCTTTAGTCGGTGACGAAGTCAGTTGCCCGCTGCATGGGCGTAACGCGATTACCGAGGGTACCGATCAATGGTCTGAAAACGGTCGGGCGATGGTGGTCAACGGCTGTCACAGCGAGTGCGGTTGCCAGGTGATTTCCAGTGCTTCCGATTGCAGGGTGGACTGAGCCATGGGCTGGGATCGTCAGGCGCCCGATAGGGGGAAGTTCCGGCACCGATTGTGGTGGGCCGTTGGATATTGGCGGCGGTCGTGGCGGTTCTGGCCAGTGTGCTGCTGTTCTTGCTGTACGCCTCTGAGCACGTGCAGCCGCTGCACGCCGTGAACATCTGGGCGGTGTCCGGCTCACCCTTGCTGATCTGGCTCCTCGCGTTTGGCGCGCGCGCTTACTTCTACGGTAGTGCGCTGAGTCATCAGCAGTTTCTTGAGGAGGAGGCACTGGTTGCGCAACAGGCCTGGCAGGGCTGGGCGCAACGGTATATGGCGGTGTGCGGCAGTTGCGTGCTGCTGCCGGATCAGGTGTCTGCCAGCGCGCTGGCGCAAGGCGCTGTCAGCTTTCCAAACCGTAGCGGGCAAGCAAGGCGCATTACGGCATTGTTGATCCCGCATGTGCGTGCGCTAACGGGGTTGCAGTTGCTGCTTCAGGCGCTGGACGCGACATTGCTGGCTCTGCCTGCGGGTCGGGCGCTGCACGTCACCTTGTTGAGTGATGTCGAGCCCATGCATCACTGGCGCTGCGCGATGCCTGGAAGCAGAGCTGGGTGGCCGTGATGGGCACGCCCATACCGGAAAAACTCACCGTGACTGATGAACTGCCCTACCAGTGGATTGACGACATATTGAAGACGGCCAGCCCGGCCCTTCAGTTGATCCTGGTGTTGCAGGTACGCGGCGAGGTGGCGTATTCCGATGGATTGGCGGCTTTGCTGTTGTGTCCGGACAGGCTGGCATCCGAGTGGGAGCTGCCTGTGCAGGGAAGGTTGTTGCGACCGATGCCGTTGGACACCACCCAGTTAAAGAACGAACTGACGCTGTTCATGCAAACCCAGCCCATCGCGCGTCAGGCCTCAAGCGTGTTGGCGGACGACGCAGACTGGCATCCATTGACCGGCGATGTCGCGGCTATCAGCGGCCTTTGCGGCGCGTCACTGACGGCAGGGCAACTATGGATTCAGGAATACCTCTGGGGACGCTCGGGACCTTTCAGCCACTGGCTGGTGGCAGCCCTTGGGATTGAAGTCGCCCGACATCAGCAACGGCCTTTGCTGTTGCTGACTCGGGACGAAACGCGGCATTGGATCAGCACCGTTACCACTGGAGAGTTGGCATGAAGCAGGGAAGCAATTCGTGGCGCCTGATTGGCACGTCGGTACGGGCCGTTGCATTGGCCTCGGTGTTAGGTTGGGTGATCTGGAGGTATGGTCAGGAGGTGGGATTACTGGAGCCAGGGCAAAGGATTTCTATTTTCTTGCTGATCATTCTTATGGCTGCGGTCGGGCTTTTTGCACCACGTCTGTTGATACAGCTCAAGCGACTCAACCATCGTGATCAGGGCCAGGTGGATAAGGTCTATCCTCAACCGGACGCGCCTTTGACGCCATCGCATAAGCCGGCTTTTAAGCTCGATGAGCTTATCTGTTCGCTTCACGTGAAATACGGCTTCTTCTGGCGCCTTAAGGTGCGTTTTTTTATCGTCTTCGGCGAGCCTGAACAGATTACCGCCATCGCCCCCAGCCTGACCCAGGACCACTGGCTGGAAGGACAAAACACCGTCCTGTTGTGGGGCGGCAGCGTGCATACCAAACTGGATGAGTCATTGCTGGCGCAGTGGCGTGCACTGAGCCGCTGGCGCGCCCTGGACGGTGTCGTCTGGGCGCTCAGCAGCGATCAAAGCGCTGACGATGCTGCGATGGCCGCCGGTGTTCGCTACTTGCGGTACCTGTCCGCTGGGCTGCGCTGGCAACTCCCGCTCCATCTTTGGCAGGTCTGCGACAGCCAATGGCCGCAAGCCAAACGTCAGGTCGACGCCGTCGGCTGTCGGCTGCCGCAAAAACTCACCGCCGACGCCCTCGAAACCCGTCTCGCCGCCCTCATCGAGCCCCTGCGCAACGCCGGCTGGGCCCAGATGAAAATCAACAACGCCCACGACTTCCTCCTGCGTCTGGCCCGCGATCTGGGGGCCGAAGGCATTCCCCGCTGGTGTCAGGCGCTCGCACCGTTATTCGGTCAGTTCGCCCGCGGCGTGCCCTGCGTGGCTTGTGGTTCAGTCTGCCGGTGGAGCGCATTTCAAGGATCATTTCTGGCCCATCGACCCGGCCTGGGAAGGCGTTCTGCGGGACAAACCCTCTATCAGCCGCGTCGGCTGGAGCACCCCGCGTATCGGTTACGCCCTGGCCATGAGCCTGGCGCTGGTGTGGGCCGCCGGCCTGCTGCTGTCCTACGCCAGCAACCGGGCCCTGATCAGCCACGTGCAAACCTCGCTGACTGCGTTGCAGCACTCCAGACAAGGCGACGAACAGTTCCAGGCCTTGCACGAGCTGACCCGCGAACTCGGGCGGCTGGACTACCGCGCCGAACACGGTAGGCCCTGGCACCAACGTTTCGGCCTGAACCAGAACCAGGCCCTGCTCGACACCCTGTGGCCGCGCTATGTCGACGCCAACCACCGCCTGATGCGCGATCCGGCTGCGGCTAACCTGCAACGCCAACTCATGGCTTTGATCCAGCTTGCGCCGGACAGCCCCGAGCGCGCCAGCGAGGCCCGGGTTGCCTACGGGCAACTCAAGGCCTACCTGATGCTGGCGCATCCGGAAAAACCGACGCCGAATTCCTCGCTAAAACCCTCAATGACGCCGAACCGTTGCGCTCCGGCGTCTCCCCGGCTTGTGGCAAACCCTGTCGCCCGATCTCTGGCAGTTCTACAGCGAGCAACTGTCCGCGCATCCCGAGTGGCGCATCCCGGCCGACCCGAAGCTGATCGCCCAGGCCCGGCAAGTTCTCCTCGGCCAACTCGGCCAGCGCAATGCCGAAGCCAGCCTGTACCAACAAGTGCTCGACGCCTCCATCAATCACTCACCCGCCCTGGAGCTGCGCCAAATGGTCGGTGCCACCGACGCCCAGGCGTTGTTTTCCAGCGATGCCCGCGTACCCGGGGTGTTCACCCGACAAGCCTGGGAGGGCCAGGTGAGCCGGGCCATTGACGACATTGCCGAAGCCCGTCGCGAACAAATCGACTGGGTTCTCAGCGACCAGCTCAGTGATATCGCCAGCGACCTGACGCCGGCCATGCTGAAAAAACGCCTCACCGAGCGTTACTTCGATGACTACGCCAGCGCCTGGCTGGACTTCCTCAACAGCCTGCGCTGGCATCCTCAGACAGCCTGCCCGATGTCATCGACCAATTGACCCTGATGAGCGACGCCCGCCAATCGCCGTTGATCGCACTGATGAACACCGTGGCCTACCAGGGCCAGGCCGGCACCCGTGGCCAAGGGCTGAAAGACACGTTGGTGAAATCCGCCCAGCAACTGATTGGCCAGGACAAGGTGGAGATGATCGACCCATCACTGCAGACCGGCCCGTTGGAGGCGACGTTTGGCCCGTTGCTCTCCCTGATGAGCCAAGAGAAGAGCCTCAACCTGCACACCTTCCTCACCCAGGTCACCCGTGCCCGTCTGAAGCTGCAACAAATCAGCCACGCACCTGATCCGCAGGGCATGACCCAAGCCTTGGCGCAAAGCGTGTTCCAGGGCAAGAGCATCGACCTGACTGACACCCAATCCTACGGCAGCCTGATCGCCGCCAGCCTCGGCGCCGAGTGGTCAGGTTTGGGCGAAACGCTGTTCGTGCAGCCACTGGATCACGCTTGGCAGCGCGTGCTGCAACCCTCAGCCGCGAGCCTCAATCGCCAGTGGCAGCGTGCGATTGTCACGCCTTGGCACAGCGCTTTCGCCAGCCGCTACCCGTTTGCCGCCACCGCCAGCGACGCCTCGTTACCGATGCTCGGCCAGATGATCCGCGCCGACTCGGGGCGCATCGAACAGTTTCTCCAGAGCCAACTGGGCGGCGTGTTGCGTAAGGAGGGCAACCGCTGGGTGGCCGACCGCGGCCAGCCAGGGCCTGCGCTAATCCGCAGTTTCTCGCGGCTATCAACCAACTGAGCTGACCTTGCCCATGTGCCTACACCGACGGTGGCATGGGCCTGAGTTTCGAACTCCAGGGCAAGGCTGCCCGAGACATCGTGCAAACCACCTTCATCCTCAACGGCGAACGGCACCACTACTTCAACCAGCAAGAAAGTTTGCAACGCTTCAGCTGGCCCGGGCGCAAAGCGACTATCCGGGGAGCGAGCCTGAGCTGGACCAGCGTGCACACCGGAGAACGTTTGTTCGGTGACTACCAGGGCACCTGGGGTTTGATTCGCTTGCTGGAAAAGCCCGGCTTACCGCACTGGACGATGGCGATAGCCGCTACCGCATGGTGCTCAAGGCGCCGGACGGCCTGGATCTGACCTAGCACCTGCGCCTAGAACTGGACGCCGGACCGCTGGCGTTATTGAAATTGCGGGGTTTTACGTTGCCGGCGCAGATTTTTCTAGTACGGGGGCATGGAGGAAGGATGAACCCGGGGGATGTGATCTTCCGGGTACGTTTGGCCAAAGATCGGCCACCAGGAACAACCGTTCAGCTTCTTCCCACTCGCCCTCGCTGTTTTCCACCAGGCGCACCAGCAATTGTGCAGGTGCCTGGGGATCCAGTTCGGTGAGCCAGTGCTGCATCCGGGCTGCATCCCAGCTTCGTCCGCCGGAGTTGTTGTTGTTGTTTGTTGTTGTTGTTATTTGTTGTTGTTGTTTGTTGTTGTTGTTGTTGTTGTTA